TATTTATTTATTTATTTATTCAATTTGTTATCCCGCCCTAACCCCTAAGGGTCTCTGGGCGGCTTACAGGGAGTGCTAATCACATTACCGAATCTAACCTAGGGCCACAGATATACAGGGGTAGTGACAACCCTACCAGGCACCCTTGTTGCGGCGGATCTTCAGTTGTTGTCCTGTTCTTGCGGCGGCAGGCGGTAGCGTTCTTTCCTGGTGCTGGTCTTCGCAGTTTCCTTATTCCAGCTGTAGCGATTCATTTCCGGCCAGGACCAATCGCACTTCCACGCATGCTCCGCTTATGGCCTCTGTCCTGATGAGGCTCTGGCCTGCTGCGCTTGCTCCGCCTCTGTGCCAGTTGGTCCGGTCCCTTCACTCGCTCGCTCCTTGCCTCGCAAGCCGCCATTTCTTTTTACTTCTTCGCTGCCGCTGACCGCCGCTTCACTTCGGCGCTTGTTCACTGCTCGCCGCTGCATCACAGGGACGGGTGCCCCCCCCCACTCTAGTAGCAGGTACCCATTAGTCTAATCGCCCTTTAACGGGCTTTCGAGCCGCTCGGTGGGCGGGAGCCTGAGGAGGCTGGGGTTTGGGGGGGGGACTTCAAGGGGGTATGATCCTACAGAGCCTTCCAAAGCGGCCATTTTCTTCAAGGGAATTGATTCCCGTTGCCTGTAGATCTGTTGTGATCCCAAGAGATCTCCAGACTTGGCAAACCTAAGAACGGAGGTCTTTGACTTAGGTAAGACCACGCTCAGAACTGGCCCTTCTGCCTTAAAAAAAAAAATAGTTACTTCCGTAACACGGGTGTAATCTTATCCACTGGCACGAGGCAATATGACCTGTCCTGAACCCCTGTTCAGGGTCATTGGGCTGGTCCCAGTAAAAGGCACAATGCGGTTCTCCCAGATTAGAGCTCGTGCTCCTAACCACTACACCAAACTTGGTTCCAATCCCCACTCAAGTCAAGGCACTCACTGGGTGTCATAAATCAGTCTGTGCTGAGTGATGGCTCAGATTTCTCTGACAAAGAGCTACCTGCTAGCCCCGAGTTAGTAACTGAACAGCCGGCTGCAGCTGGCTCTGAGCCAAAAGGAGAACAAAAAGAGATCAGGTTACTGGCTGGTCAGGAGCCACAGCCTACACCCTGTAGCTCTGAAGAAGTAAACAAGTCTTCAGCAGCCACTCCCAGCCCACCTAGCTCCCCCACAGACACCCTTGCAGCGCTGACACTGTCAGCGACACTTAGAGTTGAAAGAATGGAGAAGAAGTGCAAGACTCATGACCTGTTGTCAGCTGTCAGTTGGTTGAATGAATCATTTCAGGATGACCTCCACGGAATTTCTCAGAGCTCTCTTAGCCCTACCTACCTCACAGGGTGTCTGTTGTGGGGAGGGGAAGGGGAAGGAGTTTGTAAGCCACTCTGAGACTCTGGGTGAAGGGCGGGGTATAAATCCAATCTCTTCCCTTCTTCTTCTTGCACTGGACTGGACTTGGATTTGGTACCTAGAACTCCTCGACCTTAGAGTGGACTCTTGTAAACCTGCTCTCTGGAAAACCTGATTTTTGGACTGGACTTTGGTTACTCTCTGCAACCTTGCCTGTTACTTGCCCTGCTGGACCACAGCCTGTGCCTCCTGGGGAAGCCACATCAGTACACTGGGTGACCTTGGGCCATTCAGCTGGAATTATCTCCCATTACTGCTATGAAGATAAAATGGGGGAGATAGAACTATGTAGCTCTTTGGAGGAAGGACTGCATAAAATGTGAGAGGCACACACCCAGACAGGAAATGGATACTTGGAAAACCTTCTAGCTATAACTCTTTGGCTTTCTAATGGCTACATCATGAATATCTCTTTCATTTCTCATAATAAAACTATACAAGCATTTAGGTGTTGTGTTTGGAGACTATGAAATAATTTATTATTCATTTATTTACAGGACTTCCTTATCTTCTTTACACTTAAAATATGAGAATATTGAAGCCAACGGAACATAAAGTAGCACACAAGATCAAAATCACAGTCAGGTGGGTGTGGCACTTGCCAGGAACTACGGGCATTGCCTGGCAAAGGGTGCATCCAGGGTTGACCACTGATGGGGAGGAAGAGGAGGAGCCACAAGTCTGTCAGCCAGGGTTGGCATAAAGACAAATGTTCTCCCTTACTGTTTGTGAGACCCTTTGTAGACCTTCCTCTGACTTTCCAGAACCTTCTTCAGAGCACTCTTCACCTCTTTGTTCCGGAGGCTGTAGATGAGGGGGTTCAGCATTGGGGTGATAATGCAGTACATGGTGGAGACCAGAGTGTCAGTCTCTAAGGAATAACCCGTGCCTGGATGATTATAGTTAAGGAATCCGTTTCCAAAGTAAATGATGAAAACGGTGAGGTGAGAAGCACAGGTGGAAAAAGCTTTGCATTTGCCAGTGGTGGAACGGATCTTCAAGATGGAGGAAAGGATGAAGTTGTATGAGAGGATAGTGAACAGGAAGGGGGGCATGCCCACAAATACGCTTGCTATGTGGGCTGCCAGTACATTGATATGCACATCATTGCAAGAAATTTTCATCAGCGGAGGGATATCGCAGAAAATGTGATGAATCTGGTTGACTCCGCAAAACTGCAACCTGGAGCTGAGAGCTGTATGGGGAGCAGCGTTTAGGAAGCCCCAGATCCAGGTAGAAAAGGCTAATGTGGCGCACACCTTGGTGTTCATGAGGCGGGAGTAATGCAAAGGCTTGCAGATGGCAGCATAACGGTCATAGGCCATGACTGCCAGCAACGTATCCTCTGTCCCCGTGAAAGAGAGCAGGAAAAACATCTGGGCCAGGCACTGGTTGTAGGTGATAGTCTGTCGCTGGTACAAGAAGTTCACCAGGATCTTGGGGACTGTGACGGAGGAGATGCAGATGTCTAGGCAGGCGAGATGGCTGAGGAAGTAGTACATGGGGCTCTGGAGGCTGGAATCCAGTTGAATCAGAGTAAATATCATGAGGTTCCCCAGAACAGTGACCAAGTAAATGGCTAGGAACGGCAGGAAGAGGTAGATGTGGCTGTTCGGAATGTTAGAGAAACCCAGGAAGACAAATTCCACTACTTGCGTCTGATTCCTCACTCCCATTGAGATTTCAGAACTCACCTGTAAGGAGAGAGAAATAAGTGGAGAAAGAACATCTTCATCTTAGGTACTGTGATGATCAATAGCTCTGGGTGTCGACTTAGAATTCTTCACATGAATTAAAACAATTTGTTGTTATGAGTAAGAAATGTTGCCCTCTAGGGATACTGGTGTCATAACTAAATCAAGGCGTAGGGAAATGAGAACAAAATTGTAAGCTGTTTTTATCCTTCGTAAATGCATCCTCTCCTCTTTCTCATCTACCATGTAGCTGATTAGGCAACACTTTGAAATCTCCCCAGATCTTCACACCTGGAGGAACTATTCTCCAACTATCAATGCAAAATGACAAAGACAACCTGACGGGCATGCACGGCGATAGCGGGCAATTTCCCCCTTGTTTCACTTCCAAGCTGAAAGTAAATCAAAAGCATACAGATTCCCTCAGGTTTCCCCCCCTGCCCTTTTGGTGCCCCTCGAAGGTCACTCCCCAGCCCACATCAAGGTTACTCTGCCCACACTGTACCTCCTGCGATCCTCCACCCTTCATTGGTGTACAAGCTCCAATTTCCTCTTCTTTTCAAATTTTTCTAGTTTTTTTTTACAAGCAGCATGAGTCTAGTGATTCAGTAGTCATGAGTCTATAAATTTAAAGAAAATTAAAACCACAGGGAAAAGTGTAAAAGGAGCTGTGTAAAGTTGCATTTCCTACTGGTATTTGTCATGAAAGGGGGATCGGAGAGGAGGCAAACAGCAGCATCCTCAGTGGAAAAAAAAAGATTTCAGTGCTGCATTCGAACAAAATAAAGGGGGGGGATCATCAGTGCAGAAAGAAACTGACATTATGTGTAAGGAGAGAGAGTGCCACTGGGATGTTGAAGCCTAATGCTATGAAAACATTTTTCTCTTTAATGCCATAGTGCTTTAATGCTTGGGGGGTGGGTGACAATTCTTGGCATCTCTGCAAGCCTAATACTAAAATGGCAGCTGAGGCACATGGACCTTTTGCAAACTGCCGGATTTAAGAATCTCTCAGATTGACCTATTTGGAGGACAGAGTGCAATCCCCACAGGACAGGCTCTAAAAAACTGCCAAGATCATGACCCGTGTGCCGGATCAGATTAGAGAACCACAAAGAGAAAGCCATGCAAATTTGCAAGAAAGGGCGAGAAATTAAAATTGCTGTGCAGCAGTGGTAGGGTATCAGTGAAAATAACTCCTTTTTTTCAATTCAGTGACAAAGACTGAAAGGCTGTGCTCACTAAATAATCCACTTTCAATCCACTTTAAGTACACTTTCCATCTGGACTTTGCCCATTCACACAGTAAAAATCCAGTTGGAAAGTGCATTGAAAGTGCATTGAAATCAGATTATTTAGTGTATGACCACAGCCAAGACGTTCCAAGTCACGTCAGTCTGTTCTTAGCATACTCTGGTTTCTCTACAGATCGCATAAATCTTTCCTGTTCTTAGCAATTCTACAGAAATACAGACTTTCCTTTGTGAAAACTCCAGTTCATGGTCTCGACTGCTCTGGCCTCAACTATTGATATGTTCTCTTCTCTGACCTTCCATGGTCCCACCTCCATCGTCCCCCCTCTATGCAGCACTCTCCCCACAAAACTACAGAATGTTTGGCTCGGCTCCTTAAACCACCAGACAATTCTGCTTCCCCTCCTGGACGCAGCACGATCTTATCGTCTGGAGCTTATCTTATCCTCCCGAGCAATGTGAAAAGAGAGCCAGTGCGGTGTAGTGGTTAAGAATAGTAGATTCTAATCTGGAGAGCTATGTTTTCTTCCTCACTCCTCCTCCATGTGAAGCCAGCTGGGTGACCTTGGGACAGTCCCAGTTCTCTCCAACCTCTCTCAGTCCCACCTACTTCACAAGGTGCCTGTTGTGAGGAGAGGAAGGGAAGGTGATTGCAAGTGACGATGGGACTCCTTAAGGTAGAGAGAAGTGGGGTATAAAAACCGACTCTTTCTCTAGAACCTGGAAGCCACAGACCTTTCTACTCCTGGGCTGTGGCTCAGTATTAGAGCACCTTGAGCCAAAGCACCAAGAGCCATCATCTGCCTGATCCCCTATTAGATAGCTCCGTCTGGAGATCAGCTGCAATTGTGGGACATCCCCGGGCTCCTCCTCAGGCTTGCCTTTGAACCTTAAATCTACCTGGACTTGGCTTAACTGTGAACTCCACGCCCTCCTCCTTCACCCCTCCATCGATGTCCGCCCATCCCTGGCTTCCCTCTGATCTCTGAACCAAATACTTCTCTCCCTTCATGTACTTGCCACTATAAGCGAATAATGCTAGTGTATGCTAGGGAGCGTTGCATGCAGGGGCTTTGTGTCCTCGATGCTTTGGCCTCTGATCAATCTGTCTAGCCCGGCCAAATGACTGAGTCGGGTCTCACCCCCTGTGGGTCTTGGTTCAGTGGTCCGTAACTGCAGCACAGAAAAGTGAGAGCCATGCTTCTTCAGCCTTTCCTTTATTGGGGCACTGTCTCGATGGCACATATTCAAGCCACCAAAGTGGCAAAGACAAGAGTCCTTTAGTCTTGTATCTAGCACGATCCTAGAATAAAAACACTTAAGGTCTCAATTCCATTCTACTGAGCTAACCATAGCTCCGTAAGGTGCACCTGGAGTGGCTGCCTGCCATTGGAGAGAGGGATTATTCAGCCTCTAGAAACACAGTTGGCTAGAAAAACCTACTCACTTTTGCCCACGGATGACCAATCACGGCTGGGTTCCTCCACCTGCAGGCGTTCCGCTCCTGTTCCTCCCAACCACAAGCAGACCGAGCAACCTAGCCTAGAGTTGTCAGGATGTTAGTGCCTCTGACCAATCTGTCCAGCCTGTCCAAATGACTGAGATGGGTCTCACCCCCTGTGGGTCTTGGTTCAGTGGTCCGTAACTGCAGCGCAGGCAGGTGAGAGCCATGCTTCTTCAGCATTTCCACTACCTCGATGGCACATATTCAAGCCACCGAAGTGGCAGAGACGCTAATCCTTCATTCTTCTATCTAGCACAATCCTTGAGTAAAAATACATGTGGTCTCCATTCCATTCTCCTGAACAAACCGTAGCTCAGTGAGGCTCACCCAGAGAGGCTGTTGCCAGCCAAAGGGCTCAGGAAGCCACCCCCTTTTGTCTGCCTGCCATTTGAGAGAGGAATCACTCAGCCTCTAGGAACACTGGTGGCTGGAAAAACCTACTCACTTTTGCCCACGGATGACAAATCACGGCTGGGTTCTTCCACCTGCAGGCGTTGTGCTCCTGTTCATCCCATTCGCAGGAAGACAGAGCAGCTTAGCCTAGAGTTGTCAGGATGTTAGTGCCTGGTTGTCCCTCGATGTGGAAGCAACAATAGACGTGGAAGGCATGCCTCCACCTTGACGTTGCCGATGCCGTGGGGCAGGTCTCTCTGCAGCCAGAGGTGTACAAGGCTGACAGCACCTGGAGATGAGAATTCTTTTCTTGCCCTGGGGTCCTGGGGGATTCTCCTAGAGCGGAAATCCAGAGGGAGTAGCGCATAATGGCTGGAGGCTCAGAGAATTGGGACGGATCTCGTCTCAGAATTGCAGGGGAGAAGTAAACACCATTTATACCCAGAAGGCCGTGCAGCATATGTAAACACACAATGGACTGGCCTAGCTGCTGCCTGTCCTAAACCAGATAAAGAAGTACAGATAGGCCTAGATCTATTTTTAACCTTTGATCTTAATATTTATTTTTACCATTTCTGTATTTTAAACCTTTTCGATTCCTCTTTATAATTTTACATGTTATTATATTTTATCTGTTCTTTTACCTGTTATTTACTTGCCTCTTATTGTATTGTTCACTGGTCTATGACTGATATAAATTGATTGATTGATTGGCCTAGGTGCTGCCTGTCCTGAACCCCTGTTCAGGGTCATTGGGCTGGTCCCAGTAAAAGGCACAATGCGGTTCTCCCAGATTAGAGCTCGTGCTCCTAACCACTACACCAAACTTGGTTCCAATCCCCACTCAAGCCATGGCACTCACTGGGTGTTATAAATCAGTCTGTGCTGAGTGATGGCTTAGATTTCTCTGACAAAGAGCTACCTGCTAGCCCCGAGTTAGTAAGTGAACAGCCGGCTGCAGCTGGCTCTAAGCCAAAAGGAGAACAACAAGAGATCAGGTTACTGGCTGGTCAGGAGCCACAGCCTACACCTTGTAGCTCTGAAGCAGTAAACAAGTCTTCAGTAGCCACTCCCAGCCCACCTAGCTCCCCCACAGACACCTTTGCAGTGCTGACGCTGTCAGAGACACTTAGAATTGAAAGAATGGAGAAGAAGTGCAAGACTCATGGCCTGTCGTCAGCTGACAGTTGAAGAGTTGAATGAATAGTTTCAGGATGACTGCCACGGAATTGGCTGGGAGTTTAGCTCATTAAGGGTTGGCTATAAATTCAGCTGGGAGAAGCAGCAGTTTGTGGACACAGCAAGTACACTTTTATACTCTGCTACCAAATTTGCTGCTACTGGACCTCTGCAACCTTAGACCTGACATCCGGCTTTTCTGGAGCCAGTTTGGTGTAGTGGTTAAGTGTGTGGACTCTAATCTGGGAAAACTGGGTTTGATTCCCCACTCCTCCTCTCGCATCTGCTGGATGACCTTGGGCAATCCATAGTTCTCCTTGAGATGTTCCTGAAAAAGAGCAGTTTCTGTCAGAGCTCTCCCAGCCCCACCTACCTCACAGGGTGTCTGTTGTGGGGAGGGGAAGGAGTTTGTAAGCCACTCTGAGACTCCAAGTGAAGGGCGGGGTAGAAATCCAATCTCTTCTCATCTTCGTGTTCTTGCACTGGCCTGGACTTGGACTTGCTACCTAGAACTCCTCAACACTAAACTGGACTCTAGGAAACCTGCTCTCTGGAACCCCTGACTTTTGGACTGGACTTTGGTTACTCTCTGCAACCTTGTCTGTTACTTGCCTCCTGGGGAACTGGGGAAGGTACATCAGTACCCTGGGTGGCCTTAGGCCATTCATCTTCCCTCCGCTGGGTGTATCCCCCAGAACTGCTATGAAGATAAAATGAGGGAGAGAGAACTATGTAGCTCTTTGGAGGAAGGACAGCATAAAATCTAATGAAATGAAATAAAATATGAGAAGCACACACCCAGACAGGAAATGTATACTTGGACAATCTTCCAGCTATAACTCTTTGGCTTTCTAATGGCTACATCGTGAATATCTCTTTCATTTCCCATAATAAAAATTATACAAGCGTTTAGGTTTTGTATTTTGAGAGTATGTAATAATTTATTATTCATTGATTTACAGGATTTCCTTATCTTCTTTCCACTTAAAATATGAGAATATTGAAGCCAATGGAACCTAAAGTACCACACAAGATCAAAATCACAGTCAGGTTGGTGTGGCACTTGCCAGGAACTATGGGCATTGCCTGGCAAAGGGTGCATCCAGAGTTGACCATTGATGGGGAGGAAAAGGAGGAGCCACAAGTCTCTTGGCCAGGGTTGGCAACAACGTGCAACTGAGCATGAAGGGTACAGATACTGACAGATTCTGCAAATGTTCTCCCTTACTGTCTCCATGACCCCATGTAGACCTTCCTCTGACTTTCCAGAACCTTCTTCAGAGCACCTTTGACCTCTTTGTTCCGGAGGCTGTAGATGAGGGGGTTCAGCATTGGGGTGATGATGCAGTACATGGTGGAGACCAGAGTGTCAGTCTCTAAGGAATAACCAGCACTTGGATGGTTATAGTTAAGTAATGCATTTCCAAAATAAACTATGACAACTGTGAGGTGAGAAGCACAGGTGGAAAAAGCTTTGTGCTTACCGGATTGAAAATAGGAAGGGGGCCATGCCTACAAAAAGGCTTGCTGTATGAGTTGCCAGTTGATTGATATGCACATCATTGCAAGAAAGTTTTATTAGCGGAGGGATATCACAGAAAATGTGATGAATCTGGTTGACTCCACAAAACTGCACGTTGGAGCTGAGAGCTGTATGGAGAGCAGAATCTGCCCAGGTGGCAAAGGCTAAAATGGCACACACCTTAGCCTGGGTTCCAATCTCCACTTAGTCCATGAAACTCATTGGGTGTCATAAGCAATACTCCCTCTAAGCTGTGAAGTCTGGTGAGCAAAAATTGTACTTTGTGAGTTACTGGCATTAGAAGAAGAAATTGGATTTATACCCTGCCCTCTGAGAACTCCTGAGAACCAGGAGCTCCTTGCACCGAGCACACACCCAAGACTTCTGTCCAGTGGGCAGATAGTCATACATGTGACACTCTGTGCAAAACACTGTGCAAGCTACAAGGTGTAGGAGTCACATCCTACACCTTGTAGCTCTGAAGCAGTAAACAAGTCTTCAGCAGCCACTCCCAGCCCACCTAGCTCACCCACAACCATGCAGCACCGACACTGTCTGAGACACTTAGAGTTGCAAGAAAGCAGAAGTGAAAGACTCATGGCCCATCATTAGCTGTCAATTGAAGAGATGAATGAGTAGACTCAGGGTGCCTGCCAAGGAATTGGCTGGGAGTTTAGCTTATTAAGACTTGGCTAAAAATTCAGCTGGGAGAAGTATCAGTTTCCGGACACAAGAAGTACACTTTGCTACTGGACCTCTGTAATGTTGAACCAGATTGGACCAGACAACTGGCTTTACTGGAACCCCTGACCTTGGACTGGACTTGGACTTGCTGCCTGGAACACCTTGACCCTAGACTGGACTCTGGTAAACCTGCTCTCTGGAATCCCTGACTTTTGGACTGCACTTTGGTTATTCTCTGCAACCGTGCCTGTGACCTGCCCTGCTGGACCCCAGCCTGTGCCTCCTGGGGAAGGTACATCAGTATACAGCATGACCTTGGTCCAATCACCTTCCCTGAGCTGGAAGTATCCCCCAGAGCTGCTATGCAGATAAAATGGGGGGGGGAAACTATGTATGCCCCCATGAGCTCTTTGGAAGGAGGACAGCATAAAATGTGAGAGGCACACACCCAGACAGGAAATATATACTTGGACAACCTTTTCAGCTATAACTCTTTGGCTTTCTAGTCACTATATCATGAATATCTTTCATTTCCCATAATAAAATTATACAAGAATTTCGGCTTTGTAATCGGAGGATATGAAATAATTTAGTATTCATCTATTTACAGGATTTTTGTATCTTCTTTCTACTCAAAATATGAGAATATTATTGAAGCCAATAAAACATAATGTAGCACACAAGATCAATGTCACAGTAAGTTTGATGTGGCACTTGCCAGGAACTATGGGCATTGCCTAGCAAAGGGTGCATCCAGAGTTGACCACTGATGGAGAGGAAGAGGAGGAGCCACGAGTCTCTTGACCGGGGTTGGCAACAATGTGCAACTGAGCATGAAGGGTACAGATACTGACAGTTTCTGCAAATGTTCTCCCTTACTGCTTGTAAGACCCCATGTAGACCTTCCTCTGACTATCCAGAACCTTCTTCAGAGCACCTTTTACCTCTTTGTTCCGGAGGCTGTAGATGAGGGGGTTCAGCATTGGGGTGATGATGCAGTACATGGTGGAGACCAGAGTGTCGATCTCTAAGGAATAACCAGCGCTTGGACGGTTATAGTTAAGGACTCCATTTCCAAAGTAAATGATGACAACAGTGAGGTGAGAAGCGCAGGTGGAAAAAGCTTTGCGCTTTCCAGTGGTGGAGCGGATCTTCAAGATGGAGGACAGGATGAAGATGTAGGAGAGGATCGTGAACAGGAAGGGGACCACACCCACAAAAAAGCTTGCTATGTGGGTTGCAGTTTTATTAATATGCACATCATTGCAAGAAATTTTCATTAGCGGTGGGATATCGCAGAAAATGTGATTAATCTGGTTGACTCCACAGAACTGCAACTTGGAGCTGAGAACTGTATGAAGGAGAGAGTCTAGGAAGCCCCAGACCCAGGTGGCAAAGGCTAAAATGGTGCACACTTTGGTGTTCATAAGGCGGAAGTAATGCAAAGGCTTGCAGATGGCAGCATAGCGGTCATAGGCCATGATGGTCAGCAACGCAGCCTCTGTCACCACAAAAGACATCAGGAAGAACATCTGGGCCAGGCACTGGTTGTAGGTGATGGTCTGTCGCTGGTACAAGAAGTTCACAAGGATCTTGGGGACTGTGGTGGAGGAGATGCAGATATCTAGGAAGGAGAGGTGGCTGAGGAAGTAATACATGGGGCTCTGGAGGCTGGAATCCAGCTGAATCAGAGTAAATATCATGAGGTTCCCCAGTACAGTGACCAGGTAAATGGTTAGGAATGGCAGGAAGAGGTAGATGTGGCTGTTAGGAATGCCGGAGAAACCCAGGAAGACAAATTCCACCACTTGCGTCTGATTCTTCACTCCCATTGAGGTTTCAGAACTCACCTGTAAGGAGAGAGAAATTGGTGGGGAAAACACATCTTCATCTTAGGTACTGTGATGATCGATAACTCTGGGCGTTGATTTAGAATTCCACACATGAATTAAAGCTGTTTGGTGTTATGAAAAAGAAAAATTGCCCTCTAGGGCTATTGGTTGCATAACTAATTTAGGGCATGGGGAATGCATCTGTTGAAGTCTTGTCCTCCTGCAGTTTCTGCCTTCAATACTTTCTTGTCCTTAACTCTTAACTCACCCACCCATCTCTCAACAAACTGCCTGTTCCTATCACTCTCTCCGCCACGTATCTTAATTCGTTTGCTCATGCAGATGAACACCTTTGGAAGAGAATAAAATTGTAAGTTTATTTTATTTATTGTAACTGCATCCTGTCCTCTTTCTCATCTACCATGTAGCTGATTAGGCAACACGTTGAAATCTCCCCAAATCTTATCATCTGGAGGAACTATTCTTCAACTATCAATGGAAATTGACAAAGAAAAGCCAATGGACATAAGAACATAAGAGAAGCCAATGTTGGGTCAGGACAATGGCCTATCCAGTCCAACACTCCATGTCACACAGTGGCCAGAAATACCAGGTGCCATCAGGAGGTCCAGCAGTAGGGCCAGGACACTAGAAACCCTCCCACTGTTGCCCCCCCCAAGCACAAAGAATACAGAGCATCACTTTCCCAAGACTGAGAGTTCCTATCTATACCTTGTGGCTAATAGCCACTGACAGATCTACTCCATATGCTTATCTAATTCCCTTTTGAAGCCGTCCATACTTGTAGCTGCCGCCACCTCCTGTGGCAGTGAATTCCATGTGTTAATCACTCTTTGGGTGAAGAAGTACTTCCTTTTATTCATTCTAACCTGACTGCTCAGCAATGTCACTGGGTGCCCACGAGTTCTTGTATTGTAAGAAAGGGAGAAAAGTATTTCTTTCTATGGCTTCCGGTTTTGGCGTTCACTATGGCAGTCATTCTCTTGGACCTCCAGGAGATGATTGCCAGAACCCGTGGCTAGGAGGGGGTGCGATTGTCCGCATCCCTGACAGAACCCTTGCTGATGGGTTCCAAGCCATGGGGTGCTACATGGCTTCTCCGCTGGCAATCCTGCCGGTGAAGGGGGGGGCATTCATGCCCTGACGGTCCTGCCGTGGAGTTTCCAGATGGAACTAGAAGTGCACACCAGATCAAGCACCGGGTGATCTAGTGATTTGGCAACATAAGCAAAATGGAAATGGTCTAATCATTGAACTGTGAGTTAAGTTGAAGCGAGAACACTGAAAAAAACTAAAGCCGCTCCATGGGAAGCAAGGGGGGGGAGGGGACTCTCCTCCAATAAGACAGACTTAAAGCAAATTCTATCGTTAAAGCGGGGGAGGCAGGCTTTCAAAGCGAAAAAGACTGAAATAAAAGAGTTTTAAGAACTTACCAAGCGTAATTGAGAACTTTAGAGGCTGTGATAACTTTTGATGAAAAGTAAACAATACCTCAAAAATAGCGCCTCCTACAAGGAAAGAGGAGAGGGAGAAGATAGTGAAAGCTAAGCTCACCGGAAGTGCCAGCCCAGCGAGTGTTGTGCCCAGACAGGACAGAAACTCAGACCTTCAAAGGATATTAAATGAAGCACTACGCCCTCTGCTGGAACAAGTGACGGAGATAAATAGAAAGCTGGATATGCAGCAAACTCAAATTAACGAGACTGTAAAAAAACCCAGACCAAATGGACCAGCAACTTAAAGTGGACACCAACACTAAAAAGCTGCAAAAACAAATGCAGACAATGGAGAAGAAAGAAGAAACAGACGAGTCTCAACTGCTACAGTTACAAATGGAAAAGTCAAGCTATGTCCAAAGGTTTCAGAGAATTTCTGAAGAAAAAGGGGAGAATCTCACACAGACAATGTGTGAAGCATTGGAGCAAATGGCAGATATGAAAGCGGATACTTTGCAAAACGATATTGATATGGTCTACACATCATATACAGAATTTACAAGGAATAATAACCTGCCAGTAGAAGTGATGGTGAGAATCTCCAGAAGGAACATCAGAGATAAAATTCTTAAAGCGGCTAATGGAGTTACCCTGAAAATCAAGGGCAAAGAGATAAAGGTTTTAAAGGATATTCCATTTGAAATAAGGAAGAGAAGGCGCAAATATAAAGACTTGGTCGCATTTCTACAATAGAAACAAATTGTCTACAGATGGATTCTGCCTTAAGGAATCATCTTTAAGTTTGTGAATGGAAAAGAAAAAAATGACACTGTGGAAAAAGCAATTGGATTCCTGCATCTTCATAGTCACCCAGCAGAAGGAAATGAAGAAGAAGAAGAAGAAGAAGAAGAAGAAGAAGAAGAAGAAGAAGAAGAAGAAGAAGAAGAAGAAGAAGAAGAAGACAGTTCCAAGAAGGATGGCGGAGATGGAGCAGAGCCATCTTCTGGTGAAGAATCAGACTCAAACTTGGGGGCAGTGGCCCCAAAATGAGGCTATAAATTGAGGAAGCCAAAGGAGAAAAAATGATCTGTTGTTATAACTCTGAAGTTTAAAAAAAATGTTTAAAATAAGCTTTCTTGGGCTTTTTATGAAGTCATAGTAGACGATGTTTACGTTTGAGCTTAACAGAAAGATGATGAACATGTTCAATGATTTTATACGAATACCTAGCTATATAAACTTGTAATCTTGCTAAAGCAATTTGTATGACACCCACTCTTGGGTTTTTAGAGGTTTCTTTCCTTTATCCCTATAGTTTGTAGACCCTCCCTTATTTTTTCATGTAGTGTTTAGTGATAAAAAATGCAATTAAAAAATCCCCTTCGGGGGGCCAAAAAAATATTCGTTCTCAACCTGCTCTATCCCATGCATAATCTTATAAACCTTGATCATGTCACCCCTC